TTAAATACAATGTGTATAATATATAATATATGTATGTAGATAGTTTTATGCATTTATCTACATATTTCATTTTTTATTAATAAATCGCACTACGACATTACCCGTGGTAGTTTTATAAAATGATATATTCCTCATTTTGATCACACCATAGTCCAATTATCCGGCATATTTGATTTTTCGGCATCGGCCTATCCCCGATTATATCGAATAATCAGAATTGCACCGTGCTATAAAAAATCGTGACGATACTATAGCAAATTCGGAAATAAAACGGAGGAAAAAAAAAACACTTTACACCGCGAACGGTTAAGACTGTAAAATTCGAAATAGGAGCGGCAATCTAATCTAGCGATCCTCTGTCATAAACAAGCAAACGAACCGCTATGGATACCCCTCCCGGGCTCCAGTAATTATTCCGGATAATTCTGTTGCGCGGGGCTAGGTTGTTTTCCTGCAGAAGACGGTCCCGATCCCACGGCGCTGATACAATCGATCGGCGTGCAGACTCGCGCTGGCAAGCCGACGAAAGACCGGCGAAATTTTCGCGGTAAACGTCGATGCAGCGTAGTTTAGGTAATAAAGTTCTCGGGCTCCGCGGCTAGGCGGGCCCCGCGTCACGCAATAAACTCCGCACTACGTCTTCAGAACAATAGGACATTCTGGAAGCGTTACACGCAACGCTTGGCATCGCCGTGGCCGCCGTGGGTGAAGCGTTTGGCAGTAACGCTTGCATGCCGCGCTTAAAAAAAAAAAAACGCGATCAATCTTCCCTTTTATTCCGCCGCGGTCCGCAAGACGTTCTGCAGGAACGGCCGTCGCGGCGCGGCACGGCGCGGCGCGGCGTCGCGACGACGTGCTGAGACTGGCAGAATGTTTGGCAACGGATATTTAGAGCGGCGGACGTTCCGGGAACAACTCGGCCCGAGCTAGCGGGCTCGTCCGCTTGCGTTTTCCGGCCATCGATATCGCCGCTAGGGACGGGATCAAGTTCAATATGTACCTATCCCCAATTTCGATGCCCGTGCCTCGATTCTCGGCCGCTGCTCCTAAGAAGTACCGGTTGCCTCGGCCGCTCCTGTCTGCTTCACCTTTCGCGACCCAAGCGATTAGTAGCCAATTCCTAAATGGTTTGTCTCAGATTTTTGAGCGACGGAGTGAGACAGAGAGAATTGAGAAATAGAGAAAAATGAAACGACACTCTTAAAACGGTGTAGCTTTTTTAAAACTGGTCT